GTCTTACATAAAAGGAAAACTAAAATTTTTCATGTCTAGCTTAATTTCTTTGTACTAAAACCTATGAAGTTAATGCTGGCAGACTCTATATATGTTCTCAATTTTAAGGTCTTCTCAGTAGAAATGGACTTCCTTTTTTTTTTAATAGTAAATACTCAATAACATTTATTAAAAATATTAATTCATTCCTCAAAATAAAGTATTGACAAAGCAACCTGCTGCTACTCTCTTTGAGGATTACATTACTGTTTACAAACACATCCACCACCTTTATTCATCTGAATCACACAAAAACCCAACCAAGGTGCTACAAGATGGTCCTGTTTCCTTTTTTAAAAATAATTATTATATTTATATACTATATTTGTCTTTTTCTTGTTTTATTAAAAATTCTGGGGTAATGTGCAGAACATGCAGGTTTGTTACATACCTATAAACATGCCATGGTGGTTTGCTGCATCCATCACCCCATCGAAAATACAAAAATTAGCTGGACATGGTAGTGGGTGCCTATAATCCCAGCTACTTGGGAGGCTGAGCCAGGAGAATCGCTCGCACCTGGAAGATGGAGTCTGCAGTGAGCCACGATCATGCCACTGCACTAAAACCTGGGTGATGGAGTTATACTGTCTCAAAGAAAAAATAAATAAATAAAAGAAATAAAAAAGATAACAGCGAAAAAATACTAAAAGAATGGGGAGGGCCAGGCACGGTGGCTCATACCTCCAAAAGTAATCCTAGCACTTTGGGAGGCCAAGGAGGGTGGATCACCTGAGGTCATGAGTTCAAGAACAGCCTAGCCATCATGGTGAAACCCATCTATTAAAAAAAAAAAAATTAAAAGATTAAAAAAATAAAAAGAATGTGGAGTAATACTAGTGAAGGAAGTCATTTGTTTCTAAAGCTAGGGAGAAAAGATCAACGCAGACAGCTAAATTACACAGTATTCCAAATGGGTATTCAAATGTTTAAAAAAAAAAAAAAGTAGGTTCAATAACACAGATGTAAAATTGCTCTCCCAAGGCTTTTAGCTATTCGATGAGATAAACAGTAATCACATCAAAATATATTTTTAATTTACAAATCAAAAAGTGGTTGACCTTCAAATTATAAACTATACTTCCTTCTCTGGCTTCATCACTGTTTTATGATAAGAGCAAGAGAAGAAAACAATATTAGGAAATAGAATGAATTTCAAACCAGAGTTCATATAATTTACATATATACAAGTTCTTTTTACTTCAGTACATTTAATTTACTAACTTTCATCCACAATGGCATGGTAAGATTCCATAAGAAATGGCACTCTAACTCTACCACTAAATAGATTATTAGTGGTTATGGGCTGTGAGCTTAAGTCTTCTATATCATTCTGTTTATTTCTATGGCCTGATTCTTGTATTCATGTATAAAGTTGAGGATTTTTTTTCTTAATCAAGATTATTAATAGGATATATCACCATAAACCCTATCAAGTCAAATAGGTGTAAAATAATGGGTCTTCAAAAACACTGGTGAAAAGAGATTTAAGTAATTATGGTGGACACAAAGGTGGAAGTTATTTTAAGTATTGAGGAAATATTAAACAGATCTTTGAAATTTATTTAGTTAAAAAATAAGAATGGTTTTGAAAGAAGATGACAGCATGTGAATTAGCCAAATGTGAAAAGTGCTACGTAAGTGTAAATAGCAAGATGAGGAAAAGCAATTTGTATAATGGGAAGACTCTTGCTAAGGGTTCATGAACTCTGCATACTCGTTAACTGATGTTAACTGAGGATAAGATAAGGGTTTGTTGGAGGATGTAAGGGTTAAGAAGGTGTATTAGTCTGTTCTCACACTGCCAATAAAGACATCCATGAGACTGGATAATTTTTAAAGGAAATGTGTTTAATTTACAGTTCCACATGACTAGGGAGGCCCCAACAATCATGGTGAAAGGTGAGAGAAGAGCAAAGTCACATCTTTCACACTGCAGCAGGCAAGAGAGTGTGTGCAGGGGAACTTCCATTTATAAAATCATCAGATCTCGTGCCATTTACTATCATGAGAACATCCTGGGAAATTCAACTACCCATGAATTCAACTACCATAATTCAACTACACACCACTGAGTCACCCCTCCTATCACACATGAGAATTATGGAAGCTTCAATTCAAGATGAGATTTGGGTGGCGACACAGCCTAACCATATCAGAAGGGTGATGATGCTGATCAAGTGTTTATCTCAATCCATGGTGAATTCCACAGATTTAAGGCCCATCTAAATCCCTGCAACATAAAAGCGAGAACCAAAGTACCAATGGTGTACCATGACTGCTAAGATTTTCACCATGACTTACTTGTGGAGATCATAAAAGATGCTGTTTGTTACCTTTAATAATATATTTTCTGTGGGCACAAAACTGGTCTGTTTGGAAAAAAATTTATACACATGCATATACATATATGATATATATTCTATACACGCATATATAAGAGGAAATAGTTATGGCTAGTCTTGAGGTTTTGGAAAATGAGTTCACATTTCTATTTGTTAAAAACATATTCAGTGACTAAAAACATAAAAAGCTTCTTTCAGTCATTTGGACTCTCTAATTAATTTATGAAGAACCTTTTAGAACTCATTCTGCTTCAAAGGAAAAATTTCTGTTTACTGTTTTCAAAATGTCTCTGTCTTATTTCTCCAATTATATTGCTAAAGTTCTTCACTGGCAATGACTCTTTTACTAACTATAATATCTAGTCGAAATAAATGCCTATTGAATGAATGAATGAAGAGTTTAAACTAAAAAATTAGGTAATTATAAATCAGCATGAACTATGAACCCCCATATCAACATTTCTGTATAGCACTCATGTTATTCCTTAAATAAATCCTTAAATTCTCTATTCATGTTTTTCCTTAAAAAGAGACTATAAAGATAAGCCTTTTGTGGGAGTATATATGTAAGTAAATCTAACACAAAATTAATTGGGAGAGTTTTAATGATTCCACTTTTATTTGTTAACAATTCAGTTTCCATTTCCTTCATTTCTAATATATTTTGAAAAGTGTTGGTTTTGCTCTTATTCCTAAAAATGTAATGAAAAACAGTAACAAATTTCTTAAACTGTTACTAAAATTACAACTTTGAACTATCAATAGAGTGAACTGGCAACCAACAGAATGGGAAAAAATTTTTGCAATCTACCCATCTGACAAAGGGCTAATATCCAGAATATACAAAGAACTTAAACAAATTTACAAGAAAAAACAAACAACTCCATCAATGAGTGGGCAAAGAATATAAACAGTTTTCAAAAGAAGACATTTATGCAGCCAAGAAACATGAAAAAAAGCTCACCATCACTGATGATTACAGAAATGCAAATCAAAACCATATTGAGATACCACCTCATGCCAGTTAGAATGATAATCATTAAAAAATGAGGTGACAACAGATGCTAAAGAGGATGTGGAGAAACAGGAACTCTTTTATACTGTTGGTAGGAATGTTAATTAATTCAACCATTGTGGAAGACAGTGTGGCAATTCCTCAAGGATCTAGAAATAGAAATACCATTTGACCCAGCAATCCCATTACTGGTATATATCCAAAGGATTATAAATCATTCTATTATATAGACACATGTATACATATGTTTACTGCAGCACTGTTCACAATAGCAAAGACTTGGAACCAACCTCAATGCCCATCAATAATAGACTGGATAAAGAAAATGTGGCATATATACACCGTGGAATACTATGCAGCCATAAAAAAGGAAGAGTTCATGTACTCTGCAGGGACATGGATGAAACTAGAAACCATTCTCAGCAAACTGACACAAGAAAAGAAAACCCAAACACCATATGTTTTCACTCATAAGTGTGTGTTGAACAATGAGAACACACAGACACAGGGAGAGGAACATCACACACTGGGACCTAGGGGGTGGGGGCTAGGTGAGGAATAGCAGGCGGTGGGGGGATTGGGAAGAGCATTAGAAGAAATACCTAATGTAGACGATGGGGTAATGGATGCAGCAAACCACCACTATGGCACATGTGTACCTATGTAACAAATGATCTGCACATGTACCCCAGAATTTAAAGTATAATAAATAAATTTAAAAATAATAATAAAAATTACAACTTTGGGGCCTGCTGCAGTGGTGGCTCATGACTATAATCCCAGCATTTCACTTTGAGAAGCCAAGGTGGGCAGACCATGAAGTCAAGAGATGGAGACCATCTGGCCAACATGGTGAAACCCAGGCTCTACTAAAAGTACAAAAATTATTTTGGGCTTGGTGGCATGCACCTGTAGTCCCTACTACTCGGGAGGCTGAGCCTCCCAAGGAGAATTGCTTGAACCTGAAAGGCAGAGGTTGCAGTGAGCTGATATTGCACCACTGCACTCCAGCCTGGTAACAGAGAGAGATTCTATCTCAATAAATAAATAAATAAAATTACAACTTTATTGATTCATATTACTCTGAGAATGTACACAAAGAGTATCACAGTTCATGTTACAACAGCCTCCATTTCAGTGAGAAAACACGAATAGAAATACATATAAGAACATGCCATTTAAATACATTAAATTGTTGAGTGATAATAAAATACCATTTCAGCACTATGTTTCATACTCCCAGGAAACAATTAACAATAACCTTTAGAACAGAATCTTAAAAGTTTAGCTTTTAAGCAAATACTATTATAACAGAAAAGCTTTTTGGAGGGCTGCATTCATGCATCCTTAGGCAACAATTTGGAGTCACTAATGTTAATATTAACATGTATATCAGATGCATATCTTGAACACACACACACACACACACACACTCATTCTCATTCTTTCTCTCTCCCTCCCTCCCCACCTTCCCATCTTTCTCTCCTTGTCCCCATATATAGACATATAGTCATATGGAAAAAGAGTACATAGAAAATAGCAGACACTAAAAACTAGCTGTGTAATCTTACAAAATACATAAAAACCATTGAAACACTTACTTCATCAGCCACCATACACCTGAAAAAAATAAAGAAAAAATTAATTATCAAAAGGAACAGTTTTTTTTTTAGACGGACTCTTGCTTTGTCACCAGGCTGGAGTGCAGTAGCATGATCTTGGCTCACAGCAATCTCTGCCTCCCGGGTTCAAACCATTCTCATGCCTCAGCCTCCCGAGGAGCTGGGATTAAAGGCATGTACTCTGCGCCACCACACGAAGCTAACTTTTGTATTTTCAGTAGAGGTGGGGTTTCACCATGTCGGCCAGGATGTTCTCAGTCTCCTGACCTTTGATCCACCTGCCTCAGCCTCCCAAAGTGCTGGGATTACAGGCGTGAATCACCATGCCCGGTCAAAGTGAACCATTTTTCAGGTTCTGATTAAGTAGCTTACTACAAAATAGTTTATAAATACTAAAGTAGTAAGCCAGAGACAGGTGTTTATAAGTATCAGAACATGGGCCATTGCTGATATTATATGACTCTTTAGCTGCCAAAGGCATATATGGAGAGCTTCAGATGTGCTGTTCCCACAGCTTGCCCGTGAAAATAGCTACAATGACCCTTCAAAAATGTGAGCGAATCTAGTTAGAAAAAAAAAAAAAGAAAGAAAAAAAATCTAGTTAGAAAAATATAAATGAAAGAAATAAAAGAAAAATAAACTGGTTACTCTAGTTAGAAAAAAAAATGTGAGCAGAGTGTAAGTGACTGTACTAATGACTACCCTCCTCATCCTTAAACCTTAAGATTGGTCTTCCCTATAAATCAGAAGAATGCTGCATTAAAATTCAAGAAAATAAGTGTGAATTACATATTAGTATAAGTCAAACCTATAACTATATATGCTGTAGTACATATGCTCAGCCTACCTTTAAGCTGAACTTTGTTTCCATTATTTTGCTGAACTTTCTCTTCTCACTTCTTATTAACCTATAGAAATTAATTCTATACAATGATAATTGAAGATGGGGGCATAAACTTAAGTATTAAGTAGCAGAAAAACAAAGGGCAAAGGGAAAGAATAGCAGGCATGGTCAGGATCATTGGATGTTCCTTCAAGACAGCAAACATAATAAGGGGGAAAACCAACCTATTAACTGAGGAGATATCCAGACAACCTAAAAAAAATGCTGGAATATTATAAAAATTGGCAAGTGGCCAGGTACAATGGCTCATATCTGTTATCCCAGTGGCTCAGGAGGGTGAAATAGGAGGATAAATTGAGGCCAGGAATTGGAAGCCACACTGAGCTATGATTGTACCACTGTACTCCAGCCTGGACAACAGAGGGAGACCCTATCTCTAAAACAAAGCAAAACAAAACAAAAAGACAAAAACAAAAAAAAGGTAGAAAATAAACCGCTTTTTCTATTTTATTCTTTAGTCCCAGTGGTCTTGATATTATATAATCTTATGAGGTTTATTTGTATATAAAATAAAAATTATGGTTGGGCACGGTACCTCATGCCTGTAATCCCAGCACTTTGGGAGGCCGAGGACCTGAGGTCAGGAATTCAAGACCAGCCTGGCCAACATGGTGAAACCCCATCTATACTAAAAATACAAAAATTAGCTAGGCATCATGGCACATGCCTGTGGTCCCAGCTACTCAGGAGGCTGAGGCAGGAGAAATGCCCTTGAACCTGGGAGGCAGAGGTTGCAGTGAGCCAAGATTGTGCCACTGCACTCCAGCCTGGGCGACAGAGTAAGACTCCGATCAAAAAAAAAAAAAAGCCACCAGGTGCGGTGGCTCACGCCTGTATTCCTAACACTCCTCTTTGGAATCATGAGGCGAGTGGATCACAAGGTCAGGAGTTTGAATTCAGCCTAGCCAACATAGTGAAACCCGTCTCTACTAAAAATACAAAAAAAAAATTAGCTGGGCATGGTGGTGGGTGCCCATAATCCCAGTTACTTGAGAGGCTGAGGAGGGAGAATCGCTTGAACCCGGGAGGCAGAGGTTACAGTGAGCCGAAATTTTGCCATTGCATTTCAGTCTGGGAAACAATGGGAGACTCCATCCGTTTTTATTTTATTTGTTTATTTTTAAGATGGGGTTTCACCATGATGGCCAGGCAGGTCTTGAACACCTGATCTCAAGTGATCCACCCACCTCAGCCTCCCAAAGTGCTAGGATTACATGCGTGAGCCACTGCGCCCGGCTGAGACTCCATCTCAAAACAACAACAAAAACAAAACAAATTAAGCATTTGGAGTAAATATATTATCAAAGAATACATTAGAGTTAAATGAAAATGAAATTTCATTGTTAAAAAAAGTCAGCCTACTCAATAAATATCTTTTATAAAATTTTATTTTATTAAGACAGAGTCTCCCTCTGTCACCCAGGCTAGAGGGTAGTGGCATTATTACAGCTCACTGCTGCCTCAACCACTAGTGAGCCTTCCACCTCAGCCTCTGAAGCAGCTGGAACTACAGGTGTTTGCCACTATACACAGCTAGTTTTTTTATTTGTAGAGACAGGGTTTGATTATGTTTTTCAGGTTGGTCTAGAACTCCTGAACTTATGTAATCCACCCACCTCAGCCTCCCAAACTTCTGGGATTACAGGAGTGAGCCACTGCACCTGGCCCCAATAAACATCTTTATAAAAAAATAAAATTCAAATACTTTAATTGAAAATTAAAACATGTAAGAGAAAAAATTTTATTACATTCTCTGTAAACAAACCAAGAAAGTAGAAAACTAAAAAGCAATACTTGGAAAAACATAATTTTTTTTCCAGGAAGATTCATGTATAGATTTGAAAGCAAAATGAGTACATGAATTTTAAAGATGATCATTATTGACAGCTATATACATAGACTGGAAGATGCAATCCCTGGATTATCTCAAAGCCCAGAACAAAAAATTAAATAAATGGAAATACTGAAGGAAAAGAAAGACTTCACGATAGTCCCAGAAGACCTATTATATAAAAAATACATGTTAAAAAGAGAAGAAGCACCAGATGGAAGAGAGGCAATAATTAAGTAAACGATAAAGGAAAATTTCTCTGGGCTGACCTTTGGTGGATTAGTGAAAAGGGAAACCAAGTTTCAGAGTGGATTGAAGAGAAAAGACAAATATCTACTATGCCCTTGTAAAATTCATTAATCTTACAAACAAAGAAAAAACATATACGTGTCCAGAAAGGACAATTATCTATAAAGGGAAAAACTAGGACTGGGGCTGGACTAATCATCAACTCTAGAAGCTAGAACGCAGTGCAACAGGATCTAAACAAATTGAAAGAAAAGCGGCAGAAGTCATGAATCTATACGCAGTCAAGATACCCCCTATTTGTTATGGGATGGCAAAAAGATATTTGAGGCTATCCAAGATTACCAAAATTACACCATTAAAGCAAATCATCTCATTAAAAATACTTGAGAAAATAACCAAACAATAAAAACACCTTAACATAGATTCAAGATAGGAGAAGATGAAAAGGGAATCTGGTAAACAATGAAGCTTGATACGTGAGAATTTAATGACCATATATACTCTAAATAAAAGACTCTAGAAACAGGAGGGAAATGATCCAAAAATCTGAATGTGCAAAACTGAAGGGAAGTAAGGAAATGGGAAGCTGAAGTTATTCTAAAGCAAAATAGATGATATTTTAGTCAGGACAGTAGATGAGATCACCTAGAAAGGAAGAGTATAGAGACAAGGGAAAAGAAAAAGAGCTTTTCAGTGGGTATAGAGTTTCAGATTTACTAGATGAAAAAGTTGCAGAGATTTGTTACTTAATAAAGTATACACAGTTAACACTACTGTACTGTAAATTTAAAATGGTTAAGATAGTAAATTTTACATCGTGTTTTTTTAACCACAAGGGAAAAAAGCCTTGAAGCACTACAACGAGAGGTCAAGAAAGGGGAAGAATCCAGTAAAAGAGAATGAGAAGGAATGTCCAGTTACATAGAAAGATACTAAGCTGGGTATAGTGGCTTATGTCCATAATTCCAGTGCTTTTGGAGTCTGAGCCAGGAGGATTGCTTGAAAGGGAAGGAGTTTGAGATCAGCCTCGACAACATAGCATGACCCTGTCTCTACAAAAAAAAAAAAAAAAAAAAAATTACACTCTTCACAGAAACAGAAAAAACAGTCCTAAAATTTATATGGAACCACAAAGACCCAGAATAGTCAAAGCCATCCTGAGCAAAAAGAACAAAACTAAGACAGATGGATCATGAGGTCAAGAGATCAAGATCATCTTGGTCAACATGGTGAAACCCTGTCTCTACTAAAAATACAAAAAAAATTAGCTGGGCATGGTGGCCCGTACCTGTAATCCCAGCTACTCAGGAGGCTGAGGCAGGAGAAGTGCTTGAACCCAGGAGGCGGAGGTTGCGGTGAGCCAAGATCGCGCCATTGCACTCCAGCCTGAGTAACAAGAGCGAAACTCTGTCTCAAAAAAAAAACAAAACAAAACTAGAGGAATCACATTACCTGACTTTAAATTATACTACAGAGCTATAGTCACCAGCAAGGTATTAGCATAAATACAGACACATAGACCAAAATAACAGAATAGAGAACCCAGAAACAAATCCATACATCTACAGAGAACTCATTTTCAACAAAGGTGTCAAAAACATATACTGGGAGAAATGACAGTCTCTTCAATACATCATGCTTGGAAAACTGGGTATTTGCATGCAGAAGAATGAAACCAGACCCCTATCTTTCACCATATACAAAAATCAAATCAAAATGGATTAAACACTTAAATCTAAAACCTCAAACCATGAAACTACTACAAGAAAACACTGAGGAGATGCTCCAGGACACAAGAATGGGCAAAGATTTATTTTCTTCCTTTTTTTCTTTTTCCTGGAGACAGAGTTTCACCCTGTCACCCAGGCTGGAGTGCAGTGTCACGATCTTGGCTCACTATGACCTCTGCCTCCTGGGTTCAAGGATTCTCGTGCTTCAGCTTCCCAAGTAGCTAGGACTACAGGTGTGTACTACCACGCCTGTCTAATTTTTGTATTTGTAGTAGAGATGAAGT